ACACACACACACACACACACACACACACAACACACACACACACACTCATATATATATATATATATATATATATATATATATGTATATATATAGATATTTATTATAAACATGTGTAATGAACAATATGGTGTCTTTATCCACGATGTACGTCCACATTTTTTAAGTACTAGTTCTCAACTTGCGTAAACGAGAAGTTATATCACCATATATTTTTTCCTGGATACCATACTGGTATTTCTTATCGGTGTCAATGCTGTCAGTTCGAGTTTCAGCTACTCGACACGGTTGCTGGTCAGTACAATCTCTTGCAAAACACATATCTCATGCGCAAACTTGCAAGTGCATATGCGGACTTAAGTTTTATGCTGACCGTTTTATTTGCCACTTCTTCAGATCGGTCGAGCTCGTACTCTAGATCGCCACCATCCAGGCGCTTGGATTCAAGTGACAAGGAGGCCTATCAGAAACGCGCTGGTAGCAGTCAAAGACGCGATAGGGACGTTTCGGGAGACAGAAACTATACTGACCGCATATCAGCATCGCCTCTTCGTCATTCGAGTGATAGAGATGGCGGAGATGACCGAGATGACCGCAGGCATAGTCGAAGGGGGAGGCGTGACGATTCCAGAGGACGATCCGACAGGTACGTGTCCAGTGAAAGAAGGCCGAGTGGTGGTAGGAATGGCAGGTCACGAGATAGTACCTCCCGTGAGAGAGTGAGAAGCAGAGGGCGCCGAAGCGCCGATAGAATCCGTGAGAGAAGTAGAGATAAGCGGAACAGTAGCAGTGAGAGGCACACGAGCGGTAGGAGACGTGACAGAACCAGATCAAGAACACGCACTAGGTCGAGGTCACGAAGCCGAAGCAAATCCCGAGACAGGACACGCAAAGGATCCGGAAGGGAACGCGGCGAAGACTATAAAAGCTCTCGCAGAGCAACTAGATCAGACAGCGATAGCCGTAGATCAAAGGGGAGGGCCACAGTGGAAAAGAGAGACAGTGAGAGAAGAGGCAGAGATATTTCGAAGGGTAGGCGGGAGGAGAGTGCAAGTGAGAGCGCGGATGACGAGGGGGGCCGTTCTCAAGACGCGGACCGGACGAGCGAGAGCGAGCGGATTGAAGGCAACCAAGGCACGGAGCGGGCGAGGAGCACATCGTCGGATAGATAGTATGTAATATGATCAGTTGATTGCGATTCATTTTCGATTTTAGAAGTGATTAATGCGTACTTGCACAGTGCACAGCATACAGTGTGATTTATACTCATTACGGTGTACTTTGTGTCCGCTATGTTCATCTTCAATCAAAACTGCGTTCTCGGCTATTCGCTATCTATAAGTTGGAGGAGGGGCAAATACAGCCGAGGAAAACGACAGAACAGTGGTTCACTTTCACCATTCTCACCGAGAGGACTATCGCCTTACCGAGTGTCGTCTGAAGAAAGCGCGTCGGCGAGTGAGAGCAGCGACAGCAGCAGTGAGGATGGTACGTCACGCTCATTCTCGAACTGGGCTGTCTATTGCAGTTCTACAATCGTAGTGTATCCTTTGCCATGCGTGCTCCTAGCCTTGTATGTGTTCTTTTTAGTCAAATTCGTACTAAGCGCCGCGTTGGATTGCTCCCTGTAGTTTGGACGACAAATTCCTTACTAAAATGGTCAGGCATGTGCGTCGCATATCACCATGTCGAACAATGTTTGGTCAGTACGAAGTTCGCCTTTACTTCTAATATATAGAGAGACGCAGGAGGCGAAGAAAAAAGACAACAAAGAAGCAGAAGAAAAATACCAAAAAGTCGAAATCGAAGAAAGATAAGGGTCTGAGTCGTCCGCATAAGGTATGTGCAAGTGCTAGCCACTACGCGTGTACCTACAAGACAAGACTGGTACTTTTTAAATTCGGTAGTTTAGCATCATTGCCTGAGTTCTTTTTCTTTTGTCCAAAATCTTACGTTACTATCGGTAGTCTGTAGCGGAGGGACTGAAATCTCCTTTCAAAACAGTTAGAGAATGCGATCGAAGTCAGTTGGATCAAATATGCCACACATGAGCTAGTTGACACTCACCAGTAACCCGTGCACCGTAGTTTGGCGCGAATTTTCATTCGAACGTTCGTCACCTCATTCTATGCAGCATCTTGACAAGAAGAAGGAGACGGGCGCCCGTAGTATGATTACCGGCGAGCTCATCAAAATGAAAGTCAAGAAGACCAGCAAGGAGAAAGCGGACGAGAAGAACAGAAGCGAACTGCTCACCTTCCTCAACGAAGCTACGTAGTGACGTGATATAGGGTATCATATACGTTCAGCATATCAGATCGAGCGGGGGTAGTAACCATCGAAGATCTTTAGCTTTTATCAACAAACAGGGGTCGATACTCATGCCATGCCATTATCCGCCTCACTTTGCAGTAGGATCGAACAGTCTTCACAGAAATCGTTTAGGCGCTGGAGTTCTATGGGATATTGTTGCGTTGAGACGCGCATGTAGCTTGGCTTTTGAGCTCGATTAAGCTTGCATCTTGGCATAAGCGATATAGTTGAATGAGTGAAGTTGAAAGCGCTTTGCAAACTCAGTTTGTCCTCATAAAATGAAATCGCTGGAAACATTATAGATCAACCATCGTGTTGCAGGTTGAACAGGACAGTGTCTTCTATTCACTAATTTATCCATAATAAGTTTCCTCTCTTGCTTTCTTGCCTGCTTGAGGCATACTGATTCTGTCGCGAAAATTAGAAGCAATTCAACAAATAGCGTATTGACGATTGAATTGAGACTGCAAAATAACAAAAACAGTGCAACATCTGTAGCATGCGCTGTAAGAATTTTATATACTACTGAGCGTCTCGGAAGTCTATCATTGACAGCCCATTTCATATACACGCGATGATCAGGACCACCACTTTCAAACCGTCGCGGCAGGTGAGTAGACTCTGTAAGATAAAATGCTGGTCCCAGGTCAAGAACGATGATTGAGCATTATTCAATCAGACTCTAGTTTTTGCCACGTTCTACAAACCTCATTGTATTGGTTGAAGCAAAGCCTGGTATAAACGGAGCATTGCCGTGGCTCAAGCCCGATAGCACTGTCCTTACAAATTCGGAATCGGCCATGGCGACGGGGCACCATATAGAGTCATTTCACAAAAGCCTACAACTTCCACATTCCCAATTGTCTTATTCGTAAGTTGAGACTCTAGTAAATTAAATGCCTCAAATTCTATCTCTATACCCTTTTATGATCTGATACACAAACTTCAATACAATGAGTTTGAAATTTGCAGCCTACGCCCCCCCCCGCTGTCCCCTCTTACTACGTGGCTTTTCGTCCGTAAAGATGCACAGGCGTTTTCTGATCATCGTCATTCCATGTCATGCGAATTGAGACCGGTCTCAGATACACCAAATTCGGTGGTAATGGTTTAGGAAATTCTTGTATGGTGGCGATATAGTCGAGGTGTGGCAGATGGGAGAGCTTTTCCGCTAGTACACCCATGAATTCTGTATCGAAACATAGGCTGGCTACGTAGAGCACCTCACCATCCTGGTACAATTCCTGATTGGGTCGAATTCCAAGAAGAAGTAAGACTACTCAGCGTTGGGAGCAGTAAATACTGAGCTTGATAAGTGATAAAGTGCTTGTTCATTTGGAGTTCTTGAGTTAAAAACATATAAATTCAACTTTTGACACAACCAAGAACTGAGAGTAAGTTTCCACGTTTTCCTAAGTCCAATATCGCACACAGAGAATAGAAGTACTTGTGGCAAATGCTTACTGTGTCCATGATGTCACCATTAATGAAGCTGATATTGCGATCCTTTAATAAGCCCTGCAGGAAAGTGAAAATTTATGCCGGTATAGAGAGAAGAATAACCAAAGTTGGTTCACTGCTGCCTTTCAGGAGAGCAAGCTATTAGTCTCGGATTTCCCTTGCCTTTCAGGAGAGCAAGCTATTAGTCTCGGATTTTCTTGCAAATGCAAATGTGTTATAATAACAACTAATAATGTTCAAGGTAGGCAGGCTTACATACCATGTTTCTTGGCACACACTACATTTCGGATATTGCTATATATACACACCGAGCCAACTATGATTAATAGAGATATGCGACATACACAGAAAAATCGCTATTTGCCTGGAGTGACTGGTGATATACATCAAGGTTTTTGTTTAGATCATAAAAACTCTCTCATCAGGTATTTGATACCTAGCGTTTAATAGGAAGTGTATCATAGGTACCTCTTATCAACACTACGACTTATTCCAAGACAGGGACGTAAATTGCTTACCAGTTGTAAAGCATGAGAATGCGCCTCTAGCGCTGCGTCGTGTCGAGTTTTTGCCAACTCAATCCCCACGCTCTTCGACGGCAACCAATCTATCGCAACCTGCAGTGAAGCGATATAGGCAGATATTTATCTATGTAAAGACCAAGCTAACCTCAGAATATTCCTATGTAAACTAACAAGCGTGAAATATTAGCAACACTTCAGAGCACTGGACAGAACAAGCACTTCTGATCCTACTTTGTACAGCTTGACACCACATACCTGTATAACGCACTTTCCCACGCCGCTTCCAAGATCGTAAAAGACAAAGCCAGGCGTGAGTGCTAAATCGGACATCAATTCATGCACTCCTTGCGGTGTTATCTCGCCGTAGACACTACTGCCGCCTGATACATCTATCGCATCTTCTTCTGCGTCCGTTAAATTCGCGCCTGATGCCAGCCCACAGGACGCTTCAATCTAGTATTTGCAAGATTTGAATGAATGGACACATATATCAGACTCCTTGGTGGACCTGTTACTCACACGCTGGTGCCAGCCAACGGCCTGATGTCATAGCAGGATTGTGTTTTGCAAATTGGTGGAGACATGGATACAACACGATATGCATAGACTTTTATTTAGACAACTGGTACGTGAAGAAGGTCGAGAATGTTTCGGTTTCATGAATTGACACCCGATGATTGCAATTACGAATGAATATGCTTGTAGGACACTCATCTATGAGTAGTTTTCGAATACAGCTATCTCGCGTACCTCACCATATAGTGCCGTGCATATATTGAATATAAGCATCGTCGATTCCAATAGCGCGATGTACTGATGAGTTGAAATTCAAGAGCATAAACATTTAGCAACATCGACTTGTCAGATATACATCTAAGCGCAGAAAGTTACAAGCATGTCAATTATTCCATTATTCAAGTTCCTGTATCTTTGTGCATGTGCCGACAAGATACAATCTGGCGCGGAAGCCGAGTAGCGGTCGTGGTGAGTTTGGGCCAACTTTTACGTTTAAAGTAAGATTTGCCAATGTACAGTGCTAATGCGGGCTCATTGAGCAAAGGGCACCTTGAGTACAGCGCCCTAGGAGCCAGAACACAGGCATGCTACGTGCACACGTGCGATGTTTCTAAACGGATACATGGATCTCACCATGTCTCAAAAGTTTAAGACGCTCGAAGTATGTGCCCTGATCCTGTCAGGGACATGATAACCTGCTAGTACACAGATATATGCTACGTACATATATAAAGACAGAAGGGCTCTGCAACGACTTATAGAGTTCAAGACTTAACACAGTATAACTTAAAAACACATAAAAGCTCAGTACGAGCTTCCATCATGCATATATGTACATTACACTATACACGATGAGACACGTATTTTTGGCAATCTTGCGCCTCGGCACGTCGAACTAACCACGAACGTACTTCTTGATACAGATTATGCAATAATGCCTCTGTTTGCAGGTAACCCTTCCTTCGACTCTTTGATACTCCATACCAGCACAACCCCGCACCTGCCGCCATTGCACCTAGCCATGCTATCCCGTTGGTACTAGGGCTATTTGTCGTATGCGATCTGGATATATAGGATTCTGCAATAGTCAATAATATAAGAAATTGCAGTAGTTTATCGTTAAGGATTAGGTGTATGTTCAGATCATATGCCTTGCCACGCGTGAGACCTCATGCATTATGCTATAAAATCAGCTGCTTCAGTACACAATAGTTGCTAGGTCAACCAAGCAAAACGCGATCGCTTTATTTTGCTGAAAATAGCCCCACGGAGATTTCATAATCCAGGCCTTCACTTGCGGCACCACGGACTGATCAGTTTCGACAAAATAGATAGCAAATACGGAATGTAATGACGAAATGCTGTTTCAAGTTCAATTTAATCATCTGGGCGTCGAACGGGTTGAAATACTTGAGCATAAATTAGATGTTGTACTGCTGATCGGCCGGACAATAATCTAAACATAATACTTGCCAAAATTATAGCACAATACCTAAGGCACCATTGGCGAGATATATGGATATGAATATGAATATGAATATGATATATAATTATATATAAACACCCACCCACCCACACTTACACCCACACACAAATATATATATATATATATATATAATATTTATATATATATATAAACATAAACATATACACGCACTCATACGCACACACACACACAAACACACAAATACATATATAAATATATGTATATATATATATATACATACATATACATATACACACACATTTATATGTGTATATATTCATATATATATATATATATATATATGAATATATATATATATATATACATATATATACACACACATCTATATAATATATATCAAATATATATTGAACACACACACTAACAAATATTTATATATATATATGTTCAAAATATAATATAATAATAAA